AGGCACAGTGCTTATCCTTAATGATTGCATGGTCTATTGAGAGATAACAGGTAGGGAAATGAATATTGAGGATCGAGAGGGGGAAATGTGATGATGGAGGGTGCGCAGGTGGAGTGGGTGCCCAGGGCAAGACACTAGCCCAGGGTTCAGGTTCTACTAGGACTTTCTAAAGTGGGTGAGGAGGAATCCTAAAAGATGAACAGGAGCCAGTTACGTGGAAAAGAAGGCTGCTCCACGCAGAGCGAAGAGCATGTGTAAAGGTATGGAGAAAAAAGGCGTAGCACTTTCTCTTATGACCAAGTGCTTGGGAAGGACGGAAATACATGAGGGCAGTGGTGAGAGAAGGTGCTAGAGCTGCTTCCGGAGCCAGCTTGTGGATGCCTGTGCACACCATGCCACAGTGTTTTTGTTTGTTTAGAAATAGTTAAGAACCACCGGAGGGATGTTAGAGGAGGCACCATGACCTCAGTTTGGTCTTTAAAGCAATTACCCTGACAGCCATGTGGGATTAGACAGGGTGTATCTTGTAGGCAGGAAGCCATTTAGTAATACTACAGTAAGGTAAGCAAAGTGAAAAAGGCTTACACTAAAATAGTGGTACTCAGTTTACAGAGAAGTGACTTATTAGTCACCGAATATTTAGACTTTAGAAGTGCAGAGCTTCTTGAATGCTTGTAGCTGAGTAGGAGAGTCCAATCTAGAATAGTACCACTTTAAATGAAATAGGGAATAGAGCAAGAAGAGCTATTTGAAAAGCCTGAACCAAGGTGCTTAATTCAGTGTAGACCATATTGGGTTCAAGCTAATTATGAGATGTCTGGAATATGGTTGGATAGACAAGTTGGAAGTTGTTGCATGTTTGGGTCAGATGTAGGAATTATCTGTGTGTAGGAATTGATTAGAGGCAGGTGTAGATGACGTTGTCCATAGAGAATATAAACTATGAAAAGAGAAGTGGGTCAGGTAGAGATTCATCAAGTCACTAACATTTAGGGGTGGAAAGAGGACGAGGAGCCCATGGCAGGGAGGATAGGAAGAACTGCTGGTGTGAATCAATCTTTAAAGAAGCCAGGCTGTGTTTGGGGTGGAGGGGATCATGGGAACATATGATTAGGTAGCGTCGTTTTTTGTTTGCATTCAGAAGGAAAATGGAACCCATCTGTATGCAGTAGAAGAATTTGCAAAGGCAGAAAGCTTGTGATTCAGGAGGGGTGGTGATGGTGAAGTGAGGTGAGAATGCATGAAGCTAAAGCACAGGAGGCCATGACTGGACTGGGAAAGCCAGACAGCTATCTCCTCCAGAGAGAGAGCGAACAGGGATTAAAAATGGGTGCAGACCACCCGAAGGATGGACGTATTTGAAACTCGGACTTGGGGGGGGGGCAAGGGCAACATACGTAACCTAAACATCTGTACCCCTATAATATGCTGAAATAAAAAAAAAATGTCTGGTAGATAGGAAACACTCAATAAATGTAAGCTTTTGTTATGCTAGTAAAAAAAAAAAAAAAATGGGTGCAGAGAAGCCACGACTGTAGGGGGATGGCCACAGGGAGGAATTTGCAAAATACAAAAACCTTCCAGTTATTATAGCAACAGAGAAAATACCACAGAAGAGTATTTTTCAGGCGACCTAAGATTATTAATTACTACATAAAAACAGACATGTTAGATGGATTATAAATAAAATGAAATATCTTTTTTTCTCTCCAATCTATGAGATGGGTTATTTGGAAGAGAGCCCAGTTAATGCGGTATGACTAAGATGTATGGGATAAATGAATCATCCATTGCAAATAATGAGCCATGCGGGAATGTTAATGATGATGAAAAGTAAACTTACCACTAGATTGAGGAGGACAAATTGGTCTGCTAATTTCTGGATATCTTTATTTTCAGCAAACACTTTCTTTAAAGCTATAATACACAGAAAAATCATTAAGCATCCATGTTAGCATTGGTTAAAACCATTGTTCTCTGTTATAGTTTATGTTGAATTGCATTTTAAATACAATATTCTACTTTGCTCTTTCAGCAAATGATTAGTGAAGTTACTATGTACAGCATTGACTACCTCTGCTTTTTGCATTCACTCATTCATTCATCCATTTATTTCTTTCCAGCTTATAATCATTGAATGGCTACTATGTGGTAAGCACTGTATTATGCACTAGGCATAGTGCTTTGTTCATAGAGCTCGAATGCTTGGGTGGGAGACCTGTCATAAACAAGTAAGCAAATAAATAGATAATTTCAGGTGTAGATATGGACTTTGAAGAAAACTAAAGCAAGCAAGGTTTTAAGAAGTATGTGGTGGTCAGGGTAGGTGTCTCTGAGAAGGTAACACTGATGTGAAGGAGTGATCCATTCTGAGGGAACTGCAAGGGCAATATCTTTGAGGTGAGAATGAGCTCAGACGTTTGAGGAACAGCACGAAGGCCAGGCTAGAGAGAATGGAGAAAGCAAGAGAAGAGTGGAAGGAAAGGAAAGACAGGTATTAGCCAGATCGTGTCCAACTTTGTAGGTCATGGTCAGGAATTTGGATTTAATTTTACCACTTGAACACATGAATGATAGGACCTGACTTACGTTTAATGGCCTCACTCTGGCTTCTGTGTGGAAAATCGGCTATAGGGTGAGCAGTTAGGTGTCTGTTATAGTAGTTTAGGCAAGACCTGATCTTGGCATGGACCAGGGCAGTAGTGCGGAGGCAATAGGAATTGGATGGTTTGGGCAAGACCAGCTACATGATATATTAGGCCCAATGCAAAATGAAGATGTAGAGCCCCTTGTTCAAGAATTATTAAGAATTTTAATGCAGTGACAGGAGAGCATTAAACCATGTTCTGGGCCCTGTGTGACCACACTGGTTGCATGCCCATAAAGCTGATTCTGGTTTTAGGATATATTTTGAAGGTAAAGCCAGTATTTACTGATGTAGTGGATGTGGGATGTAAGAGAAATGAAGATGTTGAGGATAAATCCTAGAGCTTGTTTTTTAAAATATGCACAAACACGGAAATATTTGAAGTTACCTTAAAATATGTTTTTATTACACAAAATACTCATTCAACTGTGCTAGGTTTTACGGATACAAAGATGAGTGATCTGAACCCTGGACCTAAGGCTAAAAGGCTATAAAAAGTCATATTTAGAAGAATAAATTACCTTGACTGTGAGGGCATTCATCCAAGTGATGAATAATCATCAAGGGTTTGTTGCTTTAAGAGACAGAGATTGGATAAATTTTAATGAGATTTCATGTATATCTAGATGTCACTAGATGGTGCTCTTGAGAGCTTTCAGAGAGCTCTGTGTAACCCTCATCCTTACCTTGTCTTGGATTTGTATAAAGCTTCTTCATACGTCTGAGTCCAGATGAGTTGATCACCCCAACCTAAAACAAAATGAACCAGTATATTTAAAGCTTTTATACTTTCAGACCCAAAAGCTGTTGAAAAGCAATGATAAAGACTGGGATAAATATATTCTTCATACTAAAGAAGAAGAAAAACCTCAAGGGAAGTAGAAATAATTATAAACAATGATAAATCTAGAAGGAACACAAACCGAAATATGTTCAACACACAAGTTTCACCATTAAGAGTTAGGAAATCTTTCCCAATTAAGTAGCAGTTGGAAGCCAGTAAGAAGCTGACTCCTACCTCTGGAGAGGGTCTGGGGCAGTCTGGGTTGAGAGTCCTTTTTAGATCCAGGTTTGACCGTGGTATCTTTGGCCAGAGAGTAGGAGAGGGCCACAAGGAGCAAGAATGCTGACACTGACATTTTTTCCATGGCTAATCTGGTATGGAAAACAAACACAAAGTCAAAAAAACCCGAAAAGGAATTAGCGATCTTCAAGATTTGCAGATTGCATCACGACGGTGGAATACAACAGGAACCGAGGCTCTGTTGAGACTGGACATGAGATTGGAGTAAACAGCCACCTTCCTGAGTGTAGCACAATAAGATATTTTGAGAGAGAGAGAGCACATTCATATTACTTTTATTATAGCATATTCTAATTTTTCTATTTTATTGTAAATATCTTATTGTGTCTAATTTATAAATTAAACTTTATCATAGGTATGTATGTATAGAAAAAAGACATAGTGTATATAGAGTTTAATGCTATCTGCACTTTCAGGCATCCACTAGGGGTCTTGGGATGTATCTCCCATGAATAAGGGGGGGGGCACTGTAATACACCTGACCCGCTGAACAGCGCAGCTTAGCCTCGCCTACCTTAACCTCAGAACACTTACATCAGCCTACAGTTATGCAGAATCATCCAACACAAAGCCTATTTTATAATAAAATATTGAATATCTCATGTAATTTATTGAATACTGTACTGTGAGTGAAAAACAGAATAGTTGTATGGGTAAATCGAAGTATAGTTTCTACTGAGTACATACTGCTTTCACACCATCATAAAGTCACAAAATTGTTAAGCTGAAACATCATAAGTTGGGGACTGTATACAGTATACGTATCTATCCACATTGATATAAATCTCTATAGGTATGGAATCATGTACAGAAATATACATCTATATAGAAATAGATAAATATAGCTACACTTTAAGGAAATAGATAGCTAGGTAGCTGTATATACTCTTATGACTAAGGAAATTTACATTTAAATTTCATATTTAAAAAATATCACTGGACGTGGTGGCGTTGCCTGTAGTCCCAGCTACCCAGGAGGCTGGGGCCAGAGGATCGCTTGAATCCAGGAGTTCTGGGCTGTAGTGCATTATGCCAATGGGGTGTCCCTACTAAGTTTGGCGTCAGTATGGTGACCTCCTGGGAGTGGGGGGCCACAAGTTTGCCTAAGGAGGGGTGAACTGGCCCAGGTCTGAAAGAGCAGGTCAAAAAATATAGTAGTAGAAGGTGTCTCAGGAGTCACCTCCTCTTTTTCCACCTTCCCATTGCCTTGTTGTATAGATAAAGAATCTGAAGTTAAGAAAGATGGAAAGATTTATGAATTGGGACCAGAGAAAGGCTTCTGGATTTTGCTATTTTGCTGCGCAGGCTCCCATCTTCCCTCCTGGAAACAATTACCCTAAACATACACATTTCTTTAACTTTTCGTTAAAATGGAGACATTGCCATTGAAGAATGGAGATAGGAATAAAATCATTCTTTTTTTCATTTAGAACCTGCCATCTTTGTCACTAAACCGAAGACTTGCACCCACGTAACTCTCTCCCTAGTGTAACATTTACTCAAACTCTATATTAGCTCTGAATTAACTCTATATTAGCTCTAAGACACATCAATGCCAAGTTTCTTCCAGGGAAACAATTCTTTGACTCCCTGTGTGGGCCTGTATAGGTAGGTGGTTATGGGCGTGAGCAAAAGTGCACAAAAGTATTCAGTGAAATTCCTAACACAGAGAAATAAACCCCATGAATGTCTCTTTGTCAAATTCTTTTTTCCTTTTTGGTATTCCACAGTTGATTCCTAGGAAAAGCGGAAGCCAATGCATATCAACAGGAAAGTGAATGGCAAGATAAGTTCCTTGAGGGAGGAGAGAAGGAAGGAAGTAGCTAGCAATCAAAGTGAGTTGCCCTAGCAAGTCACTGAGGTTATCCAGGGCCATAACATCGAAAGCTAGAGACTTGGGATTCTGGTAAAGCCAAATACTGGGATTGCTTAAAAGGAAATATGAAACTACAGCATCTAACTCTAATAGGTTAGGTAGATTTTGAATTAAGTCAGACTCTTAGGATGTGGGATGGACTCTCATTGCTTAGTGTTTTTAAGAGGGAAGATTTTCATGATCTGATAGCCTGGGTGGGAACCTTTGCTAAGAGTTAGTTGGTTTAAAAAAAAGTGTTGCTAAGTTACCAAATCCAAATGATGCCTTGTATTAAACTGATCACTTATTTTCCAAGTCATAGTACGTAGCCACAAAATATCTTACTCAGAAATGACATAAGCAGAAAGCAAGAATTTACTTTCTTCATTTTCTATACTCATAAAGATGCAGAAACGCCGATGTCAATTTTTGTCTTTTAGAGTTCTGCAAAAACAACTCAAGTGTACTATGAGTCAATAATACCCAGCCCTCTTAGTATAAAGAATTCTTTTTACTGTTAAAAAAAATCAAGAACTTTTATGTGAGAATAATTATACTTTTGGAATATTAGCTGGTTCAGAAATATATCATGGCAAATAACTACTAATTTATCAACAAGCATCTGATTTTATATTTTATTTATCACAACATCTATGTGTATTTGAAAAAATAACGTGAATCAGTGGCAAAACATTTTATATATTTTGTCCATTGATAATTCTTGTTGTACAGTAGTTTTAGGACCCCTTGCTATAGCTCCACAGATTACAGGTTGGAACTATTGATGTAGTGTTGTTTGTGTTTTATGGCAGGATGACTCAAAGAAGGCTAATGTAACTCCTGCTGTACAAACATCCTGCACTGGGATGACTTTCTGAGATTCACTCTACTGAGTTTTCAAAATATGAATAGATCCTGCTCTGCAATCTTCTTGCATAAAACACCTCAAAATACAAGGATAACCATGGAAGATGTTGTTAATATGGAGACACACACATACACACACTGGGAATCCAGGACTTTTTGCTGGTCACTATCTCCCTGTTTTGTCTTTAGCAAGGAATGAACTTGCAGGACGTTTCAGTGTCCGTGTATGCTTCAGGAAGGCAACCAACTCTCTGACAGTCCATCCCATGAATTTAAAGACTGAAGAGGCAACAACAGTATCTTTACACCAGACAGAAAGAAAGTTGTTTCCTGATTTGCAATAAAATATTCCACGTGGGCAATCAGAGCTGAGGTGTCACAGTTGAGGAGCCCATAGGCCTTTTCTTTAGCCAGGGGGAAAGAAGCAGGGCATTAGATGGTGACTGGGACACAAATCCCTTGGGCCCAGTCCCAGGCTTGAAAACTCCTAGAGTTTACCTACTCTTAAACCTCTTATTTCCTGAAGGAGAAAGCATTACTTTGAACCAGCTCAGGAACATAACACTGCCAGCTCTGGCCAAAGAAAGGCCCCAGTAAGCCTTTGGTGGAAATTCCATTATTCCCTCTCCAAATCCCACTTCCTTGTCCTCGGAACCTTGCATTTCTCTGTTGATTGCCTGCAGATTTACAGAGCAGTCAGAGTCCAATACACTTTCACAGCTATTATTAGGATCCTTACCTGTGCTTCCCCACCCACCTGCCTTGTGTGAGTCAGCCGGCCAGGATGCAGTCCAAGCTTCTGAGTGTGCCGGGGCAGCTCCAGTCTCTATTTATGCACCGAGGTGCACCTCAATCCCACCCACTAATCCTGTATTTACGTGTTGCTAACTCAGAAACGAACCTTCCTTTGCCCAAGCAACTGTCTTCCCTGGGTTAAAGAGTTCCTGTTTTTAAAAATAACGTTGCAAAAGGTATGCTTTTCAGTAGCTGTGTTTTTAACTGTTTGTGAAAATATGTTGTTAAGTGGTTTGGAAACCGTGGGCAGAGTGCCAAATCCAGGTAAGCTTTAAATGAAGACTTTTGATTTGCCTGAAGGCTGATTTGTCTTTACGTGATTGGATGGAGTTTGTGGGTTGTAGATTTTTTTTTTCTCCCCCTTGGGCAGATTGCCTTTATTTAGCTGAGAACACACAGAGATGATTCACAATTCTAACCCTTATAGTCATATAACCTGCCAAACTCCATTATGATACAAATTATTTTCCATGATACACTTCCCTCCTCCTGTCAAAAAAATATATACACCTTAACTACAAGTATGAAGAAAATACAAATCAATACAATATTTCAAAGCTGAGGAAGTTATTGAAAACAGACAGCCTACTGCTATGAGCTTGTAATAATTACCTTGCCATTGAAGATATGTAGTAACTTCCCTCCAAAGAGTTCAAAGGTATTTCACAGATATTCCTTATTTAAAGGCAAACTTTCCTGCTAGGTGTGCAGGTAGTCCTTTACCCTATTTTTCAGACCCAGAAACTAAGGTCTCCAACTATTTTTTTTTCACTCAAGATTATTCAATTATTCACTGAGGATTTTTAAGACTGGAACTCAAGTTTTCTGTCAGAAATGTTAATCCTGTATTTTGTTTATGAAGCTATGTGCAGTCTTTAAAAGCTCAGAATAAAGAAATCTTTAACAACAGAAGTGGAATGCAAGCCCTATAAAAATAACTTCTTAAAATTTTTTGAGTTACGATCAAAATATTTCAAGAACATTTTCCAGTGTGTATACTTTCTCAATAAAGCCTTGAATTCTGTGGGCAAAATAGTAATTCTCAAAATATTGAAATTTCTTTCAACTCTAAATGAGTTTACAGAGATAATTTCTTTAGGAATTTGACTGAAAACAATGATTTGAGCTAAACTCTTAACACTAGAAAGGCTCTTACGTAGATACCTAATCTGTTCAGCCTTTGGAATATTCAATTCAACTCCTTCATTTTGCAGGTGAGAAAATGAAGATGTCAAAAAAATTAATGAGGCCGGGCGCGGTGGCTCACGCCTGTAATCCTAGCTCTCTGGGAGGCCGAGGCGGGCGAATCGTTTGAGCTCAGGAGTTCGAAACCAGCCTGAGCAAGAGTGAGACCCCGTCTCTACTAAAAATAGAAAGAAATTAATCGGACAACTAAAACTATATAGAAAAAATTAGCCGGGCATGGTGGCGCATGTCTGTAGTCCCAGCTACTCGAGAGGCTGAGGCAGGAGGATCGCTTAAGTCCAGGAGTTTGAGGTTGCTGTTAGCTAGGCTGACACCTCGGCACTCTAGCCTGGGCAAAAGAGTGAGACTTTGTCTCAAAAAAAAAAAAAAAATTAATGACTTTCTGAAGGTCCCACAACCTTCAGAAAGGTTTAGGGCAAAACTGGGACCAAAGCCCAGGTGTCCTCTAGTCCCTCCTCTACTGAAACTGCAAGGTGGGTGGGATTTGGAGTAACAGGATGTCAGTCTGAGTCCTGCTTCCCGGTGCACACTCTCTGGATAATTCCAGAGATGTCATTTAACATCTATGAAACTTCAGTTTCTCTGTCTGTAAAATGGGATAATATCTTTTGGGACTGTTTTAAATGTTAAATGAGTTAAGGAATGAGAAAATATTTGGTGTATTAGTCTGCTAGGGTTGCCATAATAAAATATCACAGACCAGGGTGCTTAAACAACAGGAATTTATTTTCTTACGATTCTGGAGGCTAGAAGTGCACGATCTAAGTGTTGGCAGGGTTAGTTTCTTCTGAGGCCCTCTCTCCTTGGCTTGCAAATGGTCATCTTCTCCCTGTGTCTTCACATGGTCTTCTCTCTGTACCTGTCTATGCCATAACTTACCTTTTCTTTTTATAAGGACACCAGGCATATGGGATTAGGGCCCAGCAAAGTGACCTACTTTAACTTACTTACCTCTTTACAGACTCTATCTCCATCTCTCTCATATCTCACATTCTGAGGTACTGAGGATTAGGACTTCAACATCTGAAGTTTGAGGGGACACAAGTGAACCCATAACAGTTGGTAATTGAAAGCATCTCTGACTTGTTATAATTAATTATAATGATATAACAATTATTCTACTCTAATTCTGTGCCTAATCTTATGTCAGTAAAACCCAGTGTTTGTCATAGTCGCGAAGGTATGGCAAGGAAGAGGTAATTATTAGAACATATCCTATGCATGTGGTGGCTGAAGAATCTTTGTCATATTGGTCTTGGTGTGAAGCAACTAGGGTTTTGTAGATGGTCCAGGTATGCTTTGAGACAGGTGATGAGGGGTTTTTCTTACATGCTATTAAACTTCATCACTTTTAACAGTTACATGATCAATCTTTTGGATTTGCCTGATATTTTAAAAATATGTTGTTGGATAATATCTGAGTAGGATTTCTCTGAGTAGAATTTGGTAATTTGATATCCAGGTATAATATTTGGTAAGTAAAACTAAGCCCAGTACCAGTGACCCTAACAATGGTCATAATGAAGTGAATATTATACCTTTGTATTTTCAACATTTGTGTCATCATAACTCCTGAGGTCTCATCTGAGCATATTTTAAAGTGGGTTTTTTCCTATTTTTGAGTAAAATATGGAGGCTTATGAATAATAATAACTAGCAATTATTGAGTATCCAGTATGCATTGTGTAGTTGACTCTATTTTTTCATTTATTCACTCATGCATTCATTCATTTCTTTCCCAAATATTCATCAACTCTATTTATGTAGCAAATATTATGCCAGGCATTAAAATTATAAAAATGAAAAAGACATGGTCAGTTATTGAGGTAGCCAGACATATACATGGATAATTGCAATTCAGGGTGATAAGCCACGCCGTGGGGAAAACATATGGAAGTTTACAACATCATCCCTCTTCTAAGGTTACTTACAAACTAATTGAAGAATTAAGACAGAACCACAGTAAAAACTAACCATCCACATGAGAATAGCATGTAATAAGGGACATGTTAGTGGTATGGACATCAGGTGTTATTATTTTTCAGATGAGGTAGAGATTGCTATGCACTAGAATGCTCAAACTGATGGTAGAAAGCAAGATTTCCAAATGGATGCAGTGACACAGAATTTGCAAAATATGTTCATGGGCTATTTAAGGACCAGCCTAGCTGAAGTGAGATTCATCTGTGTAGCTTGTAGATAATAGTGTCGGAAAGGTGTTTGGGGGCTATTTGCCTGGGACTTTTAATGCCATTCTGAATTTAGACTTTACCCCGTAGATGAACTGTGGGGGGATTAAGAGAGCAAACTGTAGATTCAGATTGGTTTGAGTGTAACACTAGCTTTATGACTATTATGTACTTTACTAACCTAGGCAAATTCCTTAACCTCTCTGTGCTTTAGACACTTATAAAGTAAGGAAAGTAAGACCCACTTCAGAGAATCTGTGGAAAATTATACAACAAAGTGCTTAGAGTGGTATGTAGCACATAGTAAACACTCAAAAATGTTAGTTATTAATACAGAATGTATCACTTGCTTCTCTTATTACGATCATTTAGATAGATCTCAGTCTTTTAACTCCATGACAGCAGAATCTTTGTTTGATTACTCTTTGATTATAGCCTATCACAAGGCTTAAACTTTTAAGGCATACTTATTGGAAAAATTAATTTGTCATCATAACAGCCTCACCAAACTTCATTATTTTCCTTTAAAAAATAAAGAAATAGGCTCAGATGAGTGGACATAATTAGTCTAACGCCACAAAGCTGATGAGAAAAGACCTAAAATTTCCCATAATTGCTGATAATTAATGCAATATTTCTTTCAGTCCATCAGGCTGCCTTCTAATGTCAGGAAGTAATGAGATAAACCTGAGCTGCATGCTAATTCGACAAAACTGAATTATGATGAGCCTTGGGCAGAGAGGAGGGCAAATGACTTCTTGTACTCAAGGGGTCTGCCTCAAAGGAGACTTACCAAAAACATGTATCTAACTGCAGACCAAGCTATTGAATAAATAAGCTCTCTCTAAACTCTACTTTAGAGAAATAGACACATAAAAATTTGTGTTTTGACATATAGGAAGAATTACTTGTCATTCGAGTTTATCTTAATGTCTGAAGGAGGTTTTGTGCAAAGAAATAATTGTTTCCAGCTTCCTGAGTTTTAATTGATATTCTGTGTATTGAAGCTGAAAAACTTTAGAACCCAGTTTTTTCTAAATCTACAAGTTAAAGTTTAAATTATGTAAATTGAGTACATTTGTATAAAGTATACAAAATACATTTTACTTATGAAAACAGTAAATTGGTAGAAAAATTAGTCACCTATTTTACTTATTTCCTAGTGACTCATTTATCTCAATTTTAATTGATTAAATTCACTTAAAATAACTAGATTTAATTTCAATGGATTAAATTCAATAAAAAATAAATTCAATAGAACAAATTCAATATTACAAGCTTCATTAACGAAATTTCCTTAATTAGTTTAAACTATATTTATAATTTTAATACCAGTGTATCTAATTCTCTTAAGCTTTCTAAATGCCCAACAGAAGAGATTTGCAAACATAATTAGCAAAATCTTTCTAAGCATTTTAGCAGCTCTTATAAATAGTGTAAATAAAAAAATACTACATAGTAAATCAAGTTTTGTTAATTATTTTCATATGGCCTCACAATAAATTATTATTATTTTTAACAACTGGTAATCAACTTATTGAGACAATTGACTTAAGTATCTGCAATGGTGACTTCAACCTCAACTCCTGGCTCAAGACCGATGGAAGTAATTGTTTAACAA